TTTTTTTCTTTTTGCTTAAAAAACTTCCACTAAAATAAACAACAACTCTTAAAATTTTTATAAGATATTGAGACAAATACTAAAAAAATGAATTAATTTGAAAGACTAGTAAATAACTCTCTTGTTGCCAAAAGATCGTCCAAATTTGTATTAACCATCTCAAGATACTTCGAATTATTTCTCCATAATGTGTTTATTTTTAAAGAGAGAGTTGAATGTAATTTAATAATATTTGCTTCACACGAGTCAATACAAGTAAGAGCCTCTTTAGAAAGAACATTAGTAAAACTAGTGTTATCTCTAACTACATTTTTTGTCATTGGAAGAAGATAACTTTTAATCATATTAACATGAAGATTAATAATGGCACATATTGTTTGAAATGATTTAGTTAATACAACTCGTTCAGCACTTTGTTGAAGAACATAAAAGAATAAGTCAAGAGCTTCTCCAAATTCAGAGATTTTAATACGTTCTTTAATAGAATGTGTTAAAGTAGCAGAAACATAAGACTCTTCTAATAAAACAAAACTGTTTAATAGTTTGTCTAATTCATCATCAAGTTTTTTTATACTTTCTATTGGTTTATTTTTGACTTCATCACTTGCATTAATTTTACCTAAGAAATCATTAAAATAATCTTTATAAAATGAAATAACATTACTAATTGATGAAGTTTCATCGAGAACAATTAATACATCTTGTTCTGGGTAATCTTTTGTTCCTTTTTGAGTTTGAAGTGAGGAAATTCTTCTAATAGAAGTAAAAGTAATAACTAGTGTAAGTACACAAATATTAATTTGATCATATAATTGTTGAATAATAAAATAATATTTGTCTGGTTGAAACACATCAATAGCTTTGATACTATTTTGTCTAGAAACAACTTTTAATGAAAAGTCTACAAATCCTTGAATAGTTTTAGTAAAGATAGCTTCAGCTTTTATTGTATTAATATCAAGTTTGAGTAATTTTTCTTTAATTGTAGTTGATTCATTTAGAATTAAAGTTGTATAATATGTAATATATTGTTTGGTTGCAAATTCTGAAGATCCTATCCTCATCAGTAAATCAGTATAACGAAGAATTTGTTTCATGTCTCCTTTTTCTGTTGCATTTTTAAAATTATTCATAAACTCTTCTTCAATACTTTTTTGTAACAAATTAATTTCTTCTTTCATAATACGACTGCACCCATTTCCATAACTTTTTAACTGAACAAAATGTCTAACTGTTCCATCATAATCCTTTGTTTTAAATGACTCTTTACATTTATTAACAACACTACGTTGTTCTTTAGCAACAACTAACATTTGAAGGACTAAATTAATTCTGTCTTGTGTTCTCTCTATTCGTTTAATATCACTATTAATACCAGAAGCATTATTTGCTGCTTGATCAATTACTTTTCTAAAATTTTCTGTTTTTTCTTGGATAGGAGGAAGTGATGAATTGATGAGTGTTAATATCTCATTTATTTGAGATTGGATTTGCTCAATTTTATTGGTTGTCATTTAATCAAATTTTTTTAGTATTATTATTTTTTAGTTTTTAAATTTTTTATCAACAACCAAATAATCAATTTTTTTTTATGAATTTTTTGCATTAAAAAAAAATGAAGAATATATTTTAGTTCATTCCATTAATTAATAGAACTAAATATTTATATTAAAAGATTTTTCTGATGAATGAACCATTTTTATCAAAAGAAGAACGCCTTACTTCCTTTGATGGGCTTATTGATATGAGTCAAACAAATGATAATTTTATCATTGAAAATGATATTGAAATGTTTAGAAAAGAAGAAAAGGCAATGCAATGTAATACAATGAAAGCAATAAGATATTTTATTAATTTATTAAAAGCGAAATGGTATTGTGTAGTTTTTGTTATTGTGTTTATAGCATTTTCTATGATAGTTTATTTTAGTGATTGGAAATATGAACAAATAGAAGGAGTTAATTATAAGACAGTTATATGTTTAATATCATTAGGTGTAATGATGACATTAATTCTTAGTGAAATGTATCATCCAGGAGTAATTATGATGTCTGTTGTTGGATTCTTAATATCATGTAATGTTATTACACCAAGTCAAGGTTTTCAAGGTTTTAGTGATCGTACATTTATTACACTTATAGTTTCATATATTCTTTCGTCAGCAATAGTAAAGAATAGAAGTTTAGAATTTATAACAAGAAATATATTACCAGAGACTTATCAAACAAGAGTTTGGCCATCATTATTATTAATGGTAATTACTGTTGCTACACTATCTATCTTTATAGATAATACACCAGTAGTAATGATTGGTATTTCAATTATATTTTCATGGAAAAAAACATCAGGTATAGCAGTAAGTAAAGTTGTATTACCAATCTCATTCGCTGCTATTCTTGGTGGAATGAATTCTATCATTGGTAATTCATCATTTCATAGAGCTAGAAAATTATTATTAGAAAAAGTTAATGAATTAGATAAAAGAGGTATTCATCTTAATATTACTATGCCAATATTTGAAATTAGTGTAATATCAATTATTATAGTAATTCCTGCATTAATTTATATTATCTTTGCAAGTAATTTATTACCAAGTAAAAAAGATTCATTGTCTCATATAACAAATAAAATTTATTATTTCTCATTTAGAGTAACTAGTGCTTCAAGATTTGTTGGTGTACCAATTGGAAAAACTGTATTAATTAAACCTCCTTGTGGTATTTTAAGAACTATTAGAAGAGGTGCAACATATGAACAAGTAACTGAAGATTTAGTTATTCAAGCTGATGATATTTTATGTTATACTGCTCCATCAAAAATATTAGATGATGTGTTAACTTATAATGGTATTGTTCCAGAAGATCCAACAATTACAGATTTATCAAATACTAAAGTGTATGAAGTTGCATTAAATCCAAGTGACCCATTAATAGGACAAAAAGTAGATACGTTGTTTGAAAGAAATGTTAGTGTTCTTGGAGTAAGTATTGATGAAGATAAATGGGAAGAAGAATTAAAAACCATTGATATTTTATCAGCTACATCAACATATATTTTATTAACAAAAGGAGAAAAAGAATTAAGAGGAGATTCATTTCATATTGTTACTGATATTGGTATTCAATTACCTGCACCAACAAATCTATTTAAGATTATTATTCCTTTATTATGTCTTCTTATTCCATGTATTCTTGAAGCAACTAAAGTTACTACATTAGCTATATCAGGATTTGTTAGTGTATTAATATTAATTGTTACTGGATGTATGACAGTTAAAGATGTATATAATTCTATTGATGTTCAAGTCTTGTGTGTAGTTGGAGCGTCTTATGGAATTAGTGCTGCAATAGATAAAAGTGGAATTGGTAATTTGTTAGCCTTATCAACAACAAAATGGTTCTATCCATGTGGTAAATTTGGTATTTTATTAGGTATTTTCTTACCAACACTAATTCTTGCTCAACCATTAGCTAATACTATGATTGTTGATATTATGTTCCCTGTTGTATGGAATTTGTATTATGGTATTAATGACTCATCTCCACATGGTGCAATTATAGGAATTAAGTCAGGAATGTATACCATGATGATTGCATCGTCTAGTTGTTTCTTAATGGCAATAGGTTATCCAACCCATTTTATTGCTTATCGTCATGCTAATTATACAATGAAAGAATTTTGTGTTTATGGATTGCCTGTGTTTATCTGGGTGACGTTGTGTGGAGCATTATTGCCATATTTATTCTTTGAAGCAAGAAAATAATTGGAATTATTAAAAACTATTCCTTTATAGTTCTTTTCTTAAATTTATTTATATTTATTCAAGACTCAAAACTGTATTTTAAGATATAACTTGAAATATTCAATCATTAATAATGGAAATTGATGGTAGTCAACTTGAAGGTGGTGGTCAAATAATAAGGACTTGTTGTTCCATTGCCTCAATTAAACATTTTGATATTATGATCCATTCTATTAGAAAGAATCGACCAAAACCAGGACTTGCAGATCAACATATTGTTTGTATTAAATCAATAGGAGAGATTTTTGGAATTCCATTAGAAAATATTCGTTTAAAACAATTAGAATTATTATTTGAAGGAAGTAAAGGTAAAAACGTGAAAGAGCCAATTGTTAAAACATTCAAAATGAAAGGTGCAGGAAGTTGTTGTTTAGTATTACAGTCTCTTCTTCCTATATTGATTAGTATAGAAGGAAGTCATCAAATATCAATACATGGAGGAACACATGCATTATGGGCACCAACTCCTGAATTTTACAATGACATATTATCACCAACACTTAAATTAATGGGAATAACACTTAATGTTCAACTCAAAAAGTATGGGTTTTTCCCAAAAGGAGGAGGAGAAATTGAATGTTTAGTTCAATCTCCTTCATCTATTCAACCAATTAAATTAATTGAACGTGGAAATGGAATTAAAATAAGTGGACAAATTGTTGGTGGAAAAGGAGATGATGAAGAAATAATTTCAATACTTCAATTTGTTAAAAAAGAATGTAGAAAGAATATTAGAATAAATGGAGAGCCATTAGTATGTGAAGTGGATGGAATGTGTCATTCAAATGGAAAAACCAAATATGTTGAATTATATATTGAGTTTGAACATTGTAGAATATCATCATGTTGTGTTCAAGAAAATAATGAAACGTTTAAAAATCTTATAACTAGAACATTAAATAAGTTGTATGAAGAATTTGAACATGGAGGATGTTGTGATGAATATCTTCAAGATCAATTATTAATTCCAATGGCATTAGCAAATGGTCATTCTATGATATCATGTGGTAAAATATCATTACATTCTGAAACTATGTTTGTATTATTAAAACAACTTTTAGGAATTACGTTTAATGTTATACCACAAGGAAGTTATAATATTATTGAATGTTCTGGATCAAAGTAATAAAATTAAAAAACCAAATATATTAAAATAATAAAAACAAGTTATAATGAAATGATTATTTGGGTGAAGCCTTTAGTAAAGAATTGATTCAATACAAAGTGGAAGATTTATTTTTTCTTCTTTTTGACGTAAACTAGCAAAAATAGGTAATTCTTCTTCATCACTTTCCCAAAGAGCTGGAGTACCATAATGATTAGCTAAAATATTCCAATCAATAGAACAACTTATAATATTATCTGGCTCATCCTCTTCTTTTTGTGTTAATAAACAATCATCACAAGAATCATATTCTTCTTGACTACCAGATTCATCAGTTGAACAATACTCTAAACCAGGTGATGCTGGTGAAGAAATAGCACCAAAAAATTGTGCAAATCTTTTCATTGTTGCTTTTTGTCTTCTATTTCTTTTACTTGTTTGAGCTTCAGAAAATTCAATAACAACTCTTTTACCATTCCACTCTTTTCCATTTTCAGCATCTTTAGCTTTTGAAGCATCATTTTCATTTGCAAATTTAACAAATGCGTATGTTTGTTCTCCTCTTGGAATAGTGATTTTTTGAATTAAACCATATACCTCCATTTTACTTTTAATAAAAGATTCATCACATTTACTCATGCCAGTAACATAAAGTGTTGTTTTATCTAAATCACTTTCTTTTATTTGTGATGACTTAGCCCATTCTATAATAACTTTATTATTTTCAGCAAAAATTCCTTTCTTTTCTTTTGCATCACAAACACATCGAATAGCATCTTCCACTCTTTTAAATTTAACAAAACCACATGCTTTTTTCTTTTCTCCATCACTTAATAGAGTAACTTCCATTATTTCTCCATAATATCCACAAAGATATCTTAATCCTTTCTCTCTTCTATTTCCTATACGTGCCACAAAGACTGTTGTTGAACTATTCATCTCTAAGACTCAATTTTTAATTCTTTGAACTTAGATTAAACCATCATTTCTTTAAATATCACAGGGTTCTTTTAGAGGGTTTTTTTTTGGATTTTCTGTTTTTAATATAGAATTGTATTTCTTCTTTCTTTGAATAAAGGGTTGAACTATTGAACTCAAAGTTATTGTATCGACTATTTTCTTGAATTATTTCAGTGATTCAAATCATATAAGAAGGGTTTCCTTTTCGTGGAATTTTCTTAATATTAATCAGAAAAATATTCAACTAAATTTAAACTTGCGTGTCAATGTAAAAATAAACCTCCATTTCTTTTTTCTTCTTTGTATTTCGATTAAGTAACACTTTTCATTTTTCATTACTCAAACTCTTAAAATAGAAATTCAATTTAAAAATAATTCTAAAAATTAAAAATGAACTATAAATATATATATAAATAGTTCTATGTCTATTTTTTTTTATTTTTTATTTTTCAAATTTAATCCCATTATTTTTATTAGAAAAAAAGATATTGAAGTAACTCAATATTCGGTAAACAAAAAATCATATTTAAAATGAGTACTCGTGGAATTAAAGTTGTTCTTGTTGGAGATTCTTTCACTGGTAAAACTTCTCTAATCCAAAGATTAGTTACAGATGATTATTTAGATACTCATTTATCAACTGTTGTTTCTTCTTGTTTTCAAAAAACGATACATTTAAGTGATAGAGATATGAATATTAATATTTGGGATACTGGTTTGTTGTTCTTTTATTTTAATTAAACTTAAGTACTTAATTACTAGCTGGTCAAGAACGATTTAGATCATTAGCATCAAATTTCTTTCGTGACGCACAAGGTATTATCATTTGTTATGACGTTACTTCTCCAAAAAGTTTAACAAGTATTCCTATGTGGATTACTGAAAAAGAAAATAAAGCAGAAGATAATGTTATCTGGATGTTAGTTGGTTGTAAGTCTGACTTACAAACAAATGTCGAAGAAACAAAAGTTAAAGAAATTATTGATAAATATGGAGTTCTTCATATGACTTGTTCAGCAAAAACAGGAACTAGTTTGTTTTCATTTTATTTTTATTAGTCTCAAAAATTAATACTTTAGACGTTAACGAAATCTTTGTTACTCTTTGTGAAAGAATTAATGAAATATTACAAGATCCTATTAATGAAATTGATGACGAACCAGATTTGATTAATGTCAATCAAACCCCTTCAACAACGAACAGTAAAAAAGATTCAAAATGTGATTGTTGATATCTTTTGTTTATTTAAATACTTTTCGATTGAGATAAACTATCTTTTCTTCTTATTTATTTTGTAAATACTTTTTTCCAAAAGAATGATAATAACATTTAAAATATTTTGTTTTCTTTATTATGTAAATTATTTATAACATTTATTCTTCTGGAAGACATTTTTATCTTTAAAAAAATTGTTATGAAAAATAGTTTTTGAATTTCTTTATTATAACCCTGTTTATTATGTTTAACTTTACACAAAGCCTAACATAATTATATTAATAATATGAATAATTATCTTCTTTTTTTTTAAAGAGAATAATCTCTTTATTTAACCTATCATTTATGTTTTTCTTGCAAAATGAGAAAATCACTTCTTTCCTTTATTTCTTCTTATTATTATCTTTCAAAACTTCTTCTGCTTAATTCTTCTTTTTAACCTTTTGTTTATTCTCTGCCTTAATTTTAAGGAATTTCATTTTTCTTATTTTATGAATAGGAGAAGGAATCATTTTATTACTACTATATTAGTTTGACTAATCTTCTTTTTAGTCTTACCCACACATCAGCAAATCCTTTTCCTTGGTTAATATATATTTCTTAATTTATGTATCAATAAATATCATTTCTTATAGTACATTAAGTAATATTCCACGATAATAAATTGATGCATTCTTTGTAATATTATCTAATACATTTCTTATTTAAAGGCACTATCATAACCAGGTAATAACAAGGAAAGTCAGCGCATGAACTATTTTAGGGTTTGTGTGGTGTTTCAGACATGATACTTCAATTGTACTCTTTGTCAGTTTAACAAAATAAAAAAGTGGTTAAAAAGTACATTAAAAAAACATAATAAATCGGGAAAAAGACTATAATTAAAAATAGAAAAAAAGAAAAAAAGAAAAATTAAACATAAAAAGAATGACAGAACTAAACGAAGAAGGAAATAGTCATGAATGAAAGTATAAGTGTGTCTACTGCTCCTGTTACACCACAAAATGAATTAGAAAAAACATATGATGGGTCTATTCAATTAATTATTGGTCCTATGTTTAGTGGTAAAACTACTGAATTAATAAGACTTATTAAAAGGTTTAGATATTCCAAAAAAACTACTGTTGTTATTAAATACTCTAAGGATACTAGGTATGGATCGGAAGATGAAGCTATTTCTCATGATAAAGAATCATGGAAAGCTATTCCAACCATGAAATTAATGCCAGTACTTGAAACCGCTCTTAATTATGAAGTTATTGGTATTGATGAAGGTCAGTTCTTCCCAGACTTAATAGAGTTTTCAGAGGCATGTGCAAGTTATGGAAGATTGGTAATCATAGCAGCATTAGATGGTACATTCCAAAGAAAACCATTTGGACAAATTACTGATCTTATTCCATTATGTGAAAGCGTAAAAAAGTTAAGTGCTGTTTGTGTTAATTGTGGTAAAAAAGCAGCTTTTTCATTAAGAACCAGTTCAGAAGAATCAATTGAAGTTATTGGAGGAGTAGATAAATATTGTGCTGTCTGTAGAAAATGTTTCTACAAAGATGGTGCTACATTAAAAACTCAAAGAAGTGTTGAATTTGCTTCTCACATAAGTGAACTATAATAGTCAAGAAAAAAAAGAATAATTCTCATTTTTAATAAAAATGAAATTAATATAATTTTCTATCATATTTAGTTAATTGATTTTTTAAAAACATTTTGCTTTTTTATATATATTAGTTCAAACTTAAATGAGAAAAATTAATTAATTTCATTTTTATTTAATTTTTCTCCTTTTGATTTTGTTAAAGAAGTATTTGAATTTAACTTTTATTTTGATCTTCTTATTTTATAAAGAACAAATAACATAATAAATATTGAAGAAGAACTTAACAAAGAAAGACTTGTTATAAGTCCAAATTTTCCTATCATAAAAAATGTTAAACAACCTGTAATAATAAACCATATTACACACAAAACTCCAACCTTCCATATTATCTTATTAATAATTCTAATTGAATAAATAATTTCAAAGTCGGATATTAATATTGTAGATAATTCACATACAAGAAATGATATTGCAACTAATAAAAACAATTAACATTAGGTTTATTTTTTAATCCATCAATTTTAAATGATTTGGGTGTATTAAAAACAAAATGTAATAGTTCAGTTAAATTAAGTACTACAACATCATCAATGTCTTATTAAATTTTATCACATACTAACTAAAATCAAACAAATACTATCAACTAACAACTAGACTATAAACAAATTTCTTATTCTAATCCATATATCTTTTTTTTTAATTTCTATTATATTATGTGTCTAGTTTAACATTTTTTGTTATTTCTTTTTGCCTCTTGTTAAGTGTCTATTTGACTCTTTGACTAACTGTTAATTTAATAGTAATTTAATATTGTTATTTATAACATTCTTGAAGTATATTATAGTATTAAATTATTATTGTTATATAAAATTTAATTTATTTTTGTTTTTATCAAAAGAACTCAAACTGAGTTTAATTATTACTAAGAAGATGGAAGGTGAAGGTTTAAATAATAAAAATTTAGACACAATGAAGAAAGAAAATGTGGTAAATTATTTTTTCTTTGAAAATGGAATTGCTCTTTCAACTGAACCAAAAGAATATTGGGCACAATTTGTTGATGGAATAAAAAAAGAATTAAAAACGAATTATATTATTGTTTGTTTAAGATTAAAAAGGTAATAAGGTAATAACTCAAATAGAAATATTGTAGTTGTAATTCATTAAAATCAAAAACAAGTGATGGTATAGAAGTTGGAGCATTGAGACTAGCAAATGAAATTTGTAATGACCTTAAAGATACTAAAAGTAAAAGAGGAGACGAGAAATATAATATTCATTTTATTGGACATTCACTTGGTGGACTATATTTCAGGTTAGCAATTCCTATATTATTTAATCGTAATATATTTAATAATTCAAATTATATCCCATTTAGTTTTATTACTTTAGAATCACCTCATGCTGGTGTTAAGAAATCACAAACAGGAATTAAATCTTTCTTTGGAAATGTTTTTGAAGGAGAAACACTTAATGAGCTAGAACTAAATGATCGTCCTTTTCCACCATATGACCCATCATGTTTAGATGAATATCCTTTATTGTTAAGAATGGTTGAAGATGATGTTATTGCTCCATTAAAAAAATTTAAACACCTTACTTTAGTCCAAAACATTAGAGCATCACCACAAGTCCCTTATGTATCTTCTGCACTTGATCGAGCCATTCCTTATGATAGAGACTTTTTACAAGATCAATTTCTTTTGGATGGATTTAATTTCTTAAGGGGATACAATGATATTGTTGATGGTTGTACTAAACAATACCAATTACAAAATGAACGTGGAGATATTTTTGAAGAAAGAGTAGATAGTTGTATTATTCATGACCGTATAATTAAACAACTTAATACATTAAATTGGAGGCGATTAAATGTTCATTTTAGAACAAAATCAAATGACGCTCATATATTCATTATGGGGCAAATGAATAGAAAAAAATTATTTAAAAATTGGGGAAATGAAGATGTTGAACGATACTTGGATGTAATAGCAAAGATTATCAAAAGAGATATTGACATTGAAAATAACACTTTAGAAACAAATCCTTCTCTTATTGAAGAAGTTAATAACCAAATAAAATCAGATGATCAACCATTTAAAGAAGAGAAATTGATTGATATTCCTCAATCAACTCAAATTGTTCAACAAATTGATAAAGATCAAACTCAATTACTTTAATTAAAAATTTATTTCTTTTTATAAGTTTATTAAATTAATTTAAAACCTACTTTTCTAATGCAAAAATGTCATAAATTAGCAACATCCACCTTCTTTTTGGGTTTGTTGACCTTGTTTGGAAATATCAACATTATTAGCATCAGGTTTTGGATTGACAAGATCAGAGAATTGTTTAAATATCAATCGTGTAATTTTTGCCATTGCCTCTTCAACAGCAAGTCCACTTTTAGCTGATGTTAAAATACCATCTGAATACTTTTGTTCTGCTACTTTAGCCATTAAGTCTTCTTGTGCCTTTTTTAATTCTTCTTCACTTAAACAATCAGCTTTATTTCCAACTAATAATGCAGGAATTGATTGTTCATTAAATTTGACTTTATTCTCAAGATCTTCCTTCCATCTATCTGTAGCTGCAAATGTATCTGGATTAGTAAGGTCATACATAATAATAGCACCATGTGCTCCATTATACTATTTTGGTTATTCTATTTTCTTGATTTTTGGTTAAAAATATATAAACAAACATAAACACGAGTCATAGCAATATACTTTTCCTGACCTGCAATATCCCATAATCTAAGTTCAACATCACGTTCATCAACTGTTGTAAATTTAACAGCAAAATCAACACCAATAGTTGCACGGTACAATTGGTCAAATACACCATGACAATACTTTCTAATGGTTGATGTTTTACCTACACTTGGTTCTCCAATAACAATGATTTTTAATTGTAATGCTTCCTTTGACTCTTCCTAGTTATATTAATATATTTTCAAATTAAAGACAAATAAACGTATCACATCTCACAAACCATTATTTGTATGATTTAGTTCCATTTGTTCGTTCAGTTGTTCTCAACTTTTCTCATGGATTATAGAATTTTCTTTTTTATTCCATCCTGAATGAGCTAACTTTGTAACCTGCAATTTTTTCTTTGTTTCTAATAATAATAATATTTATATTATATTTTATAGCTTTTTTTTTTTAAGAAAGAAGAAATAAATTTTCTTTTCTTTTCTTTTCTTTTTGTAAAGAAAATAAAAAAATAAAATGAAAAGTTACAAAAAATGAAACCTAGAGTTGAATATCAATAATTAATGAATTAACTGTATAATTGAAAGATGATACAATGGATTAGAATAAGGGACAACACGATGAGCTAATGGAACAGCATTTTTATAAGTTAAATTTATATTTGAATTTGAAAATACTTTACCATCAGAAGTAACCCAAAATGCACCAGGAATAGTGATAACTAAATCTGAATTAGAGATAGGATGAATGATTAATGATTTTTTTAGATTAACAGGATGATATAAAGTAGGTTTTGTAGAGAAATTTTGAATAACAAAGATGAAATGATTTTGGTCTGAGTCTATTTCAACACGTGTAGAGTTATTTTCACAAGGAACAGTCTTTGAATAATAACTTCCAAATAATTCTCCAGAAAATAATCGTACGATAATAAAAAAGTTATTTTTTCCAGAAAGAACAGAATAAATATCTCTTGAAGAGAGTTGAAGAAAATTTGAGTCATATAATATCGTATATCCATTAATTACTTGTTCTGTTCCATTTTTAATAGATGAAAACCATTTTTTAATCATTAAACAATATTCTGAAGTAGGTGTTAATTGTGGAGAATAAGACATTATGTCAAAAGAATTTAATGGCGAGTCTAAATGAATTGAAGGAGTTCTAAAAGGAGAAGGAGAATTTTGTTGATTAGTGTTGTTAGAAATTTTTTTAATTCTTGGACTTGAAGAAAGTAAATTTTTTGAATCATCTGATTTAACAAAATCTGCAGACAAAATATCACAACTATTTGAAAGTGAAGTATGTGGAGAATTAAGAACATTTGATGGTTGAAGATCATCTTTAAGAGAGAATCTTTTTTTTTTAGAAATCTTAAATTTATGAACAGGTTTTTTTTCTAATTTGTATCTGTCAGAAAGACTTCCTCTCTTTGTTGTTTTTGTTTCTTCATTCCCCATAAAGATAAAATAATTTTAGAAGATTCAAATTACATAATATTTTGGTTTTAATTTTTTTTTTCTTTCATTTAAATAAAAAAAAAAAAATCATAAAAATTTATTAAAATTAAAAAATATTCATTTAATATGGTTTTTTGTGAGTGAAAAAGTACACAACAACTATTACTACTAAACCTGGAATAAAGAAACAAAACCAAGGATTATACCCAAATTTTATTTCTGATCTTTTAATTTTTAGTTGATCATTTGATTTTATATTAGTTTTTATATTTTCAGTTCTACAATTTTTACATTCACAAATACCACCAACACTAATTTCATTTTCAGGATTACATCCAAATTTTTTTGTTTTTAAATTATTAAATTTACAATTAATGATATTTTCAGTAAATCCTTGATATGGTTTTAAACAATGAGAATCTTCAAATGCTTTAATGTTATAAATTTTAGTTCCTTTACCTTTTCTTTTAGATGAAATATAAATAACATTTTTTTTAGTTTTACATGGTTTTTTAATTGATATTGGAGTACATTTATTTTCAGAAACATAACCACACGCTATTTTATATGAAGTATTAAAAACACAATTTGTGTCTAATATTTCATTATTTTCACATGAAACTGGAATACAAACTTCTATCACTTTTGGTTTGACAATATCCCCCTCATTAACTGATGTAACTCTTTTACTATTTTTCTTTGATTGATATTCTATTGGACCTCTTTGTAAATAAACACCTGCTTTACGTGCAGTTTTAAATCTCATTCTTTTAATTGCAACTGAGTCATTTACGAGAAGTAATAATAGAAGGATGGAAATAAATTTCATTCCTTGTAAATTATCTTTTTTCAGTTCTTTTCTATTATCTATATTTAAATTTTTAAGACGATTTCGAATAACACAATTTTATAAAAAATAAATATTCTTTTTTTTTTTTTTAAAAAAATGTTTATTTGATGAAATAAAAAGATGTATTTCTTTGACAAAATCAAAAAGAAATAGGTAATGACAAATCATTAGTATATTTTCTATTTTAAGATTTTGTTTTGATAAAAAAAACTAAAAATAAATTTTTTTAATAATAAAGCAATAAAAATTTTGATTTTTTTTTGGATTTTTATGAAAAAAAATCAGAGTTTTAGATTTGATAAAAAAAAACAACATAAAATTAAAAATCAAGATCTTTTCATTACAAAAAATGGAGTTTGTAACACATTGTGAAAATTCTGAAAGTTCTACTACTTCATCTATCATCCCTGAAATGGAGACTTCTTCTCAAATTGTTGAACTTGCTCTTTCTGTAGAACGAGCTGATACTGCGGCATTACTTGGAGCTGATGAAAGTAGTATTGATACATTAGAAAAAAAAAGATTAGAAGAGATAAGACAACAACAAATTAGTCAAGCTAAACTTATGGCTGAAAGAAGACAAAAGAAAGCTGCTATGGGTATGGAACAACGTCAAAATTGGGAACAAGAAATTGAGAGATATCGTATAGAAAATGAAGAAGTTGAAGAAAGACAAAGAAGACTTGATATAGAAGAAACAATGAATGAGTTTTATCCTAAATTATGTGAATGGGTTGGACTTAGTAATTATGAAGTGTTATACAATAGTGTAGAAGATGGAACAAATGCATCAGATTTTAATAAAAAAGTATGTGGAGAAAAGAATGTTATGTTTATTATAATCACAAAAACAGGATATGCATTTGGATGTTTTTGTCATAAAGTTTGTTAATTTTGATTAGTTTTGATTTTATTTATATTAAAGGGGTAATCAAAATTGATAAAATCATATTATATCTTACAAAATGATTCTTTTTCGTTTCTATTTTATTCACATTATCCCTCATTCTTTATTAATTAACAAAATCTATATTTATTTATAGAAAATTCCTTATCCAAAGAAATCTTATATTTATTCAATGTACGATAAAAAATATTTTACTTTTTCTTTAAGAAATCCTTCTTGTTCAGAACCAATATACTTTAAACAAAAACATCAAGGAAAATCTATTTGTATTTGGCCAAATGATGAACAAAATTTTATTTTTACAACAAAACGATTTATTAAAATTAAAAATCCTAATGGTCCTCATGGCACACGATCATTCTTTCACGGTAAATTCTCATTAAAATATAAAAGTAAAGACCATCAAAAAAGAGAACATACTTTCTTTACACAAACAACGGCATTTGATGTACATCGTTTAGTTGTTTTACATTGGTTTTAACATAGTATATGTACTTATTGTATTATCATACAAACTATATTAAATATATTTGTCTTCTTTTTTAGTTTATTTCCAAATAGTATTTCTTACACTAACTAACAAAAACTACAAATGAAACTTAATTACATTTAATAAAAGAAGTATAAAAACTTCCTTTTTTTTAATATGAATCTAATATGAACATTCTCTTTAATGCAAAATCAATATCATCACCAAGAAGTAGTGAATCTAATGCATTCTTAAAATTTACTTTAAAATTTGGATTTACTTCAGACACAACTTCATTTAATGGAAACATAATTGAAAATGCACCATCTACATTAATAATACACTGTTTATCAGATTTAAATGAAATAGAAAAATGACACAAATCGCCAAATGATCTTAGTTTACCAAATTTAGTTGGTTTAGACAATTTTGGACTTCTTAAAGAAAATACAAATGTATCAAAATCTTCAGCAAATCCATATTCATTAATATAAATTGGAGCTTCAAGATAACAACCAAATAATGCATTTTTAGTTGTTTCAAATAATAAAACAAGGTTTTTTCTTCCAATAACAGTAAATTGAATATATTCCTGTAAAAAAGGTTGTTGGTCAGTATCATATAATATTCTAAATTCATGTTGTCCTGTCCATTCTTTAAGATAAAATAATTCATTTAATTGTAATGTATTTTCAAAAGAATTTATTAAATGACATTCTTTTAAATTATTATCGATATTTTCTTTTCTAATATCTTTTCCATATATTGTATTTGATATTTGTATTAAAATGTTATATGCACTCTTTGCAAATGACTCAATTATTTCATCACCACTCATTTGGTCAATAGCTTTTTTCATTTCTTTTAATGTATCTTTAATAACTTCCATCATTCTATCTTTTTGAAGTTCTTTTCTTATGAAAGAAAAAGAATTTCTTAAATAAATTATTTCTTTAATTCCTATTCAAAAAAAGAACCTAAAAGTATAACAAGGATCGCTTCTTTTAATTAACACCTCTTAAGCTTTAACTTGTTTCTTTGAACCTTTAGCTGGTTTCTTTTCAGCTTCAGCTGGGGCAGCAGCAGCATGTTTAGCTGATCTAGTATAGATCCAAATGTGATTATCAACCTTAACTGGAACAATTAATTCTTTCTTTTCAAGGTCTTTAAGAAGAATTTTAGCAAGAGAACAAGTAATTTTCATTCTATCAGCAACAACAGCTGGTGTAATAACTTTCATTGATGGAACTTCCTTAGTACATTTGTCAAGAGTAGCTTTGTCAAATAAAACAGCATTATTTAACTTTTCCTTAACTTTAGTCTTTGACCATGATTTCTTTGGAGCTTTTCCTCCTGATGATTTTTTTGGTTTAGTTAAAGCACCTTTCTTTCCTGCAGCAGCTCCTTTTCCTTTAGCGTCCTTGGGTGGCATGAATCTGACAATTCATTTTCTTGTTCAGATTGCTTTTTATATTTCTCTTATTATTTTCTTTCTATTTATTACTTCTTCAAACCCTTATTATTCAATTATAGATTCATTATAGCTTTTTTAATATTATTTATAGTTTATTTATTTTTTAGTATTTTTTAATATTATTTATAATTTCTTTTTTTTGATTAAAACTTTGATTTTTTCAATTAGAACTTAAAATTAAATTACTATTTTATTAGTTCAATATTACTCTAATTTTTTAAATTAATTTTGAATATAACCGTGTTTAAATTAATTCTTTTTAAAGTAAATTATTTTGGTTATATATTAGTTATAATAATTAACTATAAATACAATAAATTTGATTATTTTATTAGTTATTTTTAATACTAATGCATTGACTAAGTTATCATTTTTATGAATTGATTAATTTATTTGTTTCTTAATTCTTTTTATTGTTTCTTGTTAATAATATAAATTTTTTCAGTTTAAAATAGGTTTATTTCTTCTTCTAATTATTCAATGATTTTCAAGATTAGTTTTGTTGTTGAATGGAAGAAATGAGTATCTGATATGAATTTCTTATAATATTGAAAATTATATTTTAGGTATTTGTTTGGTTAAATTACAATAAGTTTTTGTGTTTATTAAAGAAATGATAATGGTTTAGTCATTTTGAATTAGTAAATGTTAATTATTTTTTATTAGTTTTAATAATTTAAAATTTTTAATAAAGATTAATAATGAAGTTGGAAAATTTAATTTGTAAAACTAGAAAATAATTTTTAGTTTATAGTTTTAACAAAAAAAAGATTATTGTATTACTTATAGAATTTGATTTCCACTCTTTTTGATTATTTTTTTATTGTCATCATTAACAGAAATAACTTTATAAGAATAGTAAAGTATATTTTGAAAATAATTTTTCTTCAATTTGTTAATATACAAAAGTTTTTAAAAAATATTATGGATTTATTTCTCTTCTCTACACTCTTAATTTTTATCTTACTCTCTTTAAATTAGTAATTTGACATTTCATTATTTAACATCATGAACAAAGAATTAATAATGTAGTGATTATTTTATTTTTGTTATAAATAAGAATAATCATTTATTATTTGAATAATCTTCTTTGATTATTTTGAGTATTATTCTTGGTATTATCATCTTAAACTTATTTCTTATATTTTATTACTTCTACTTGTTATGATATTATTATTTGGAAAATAAAATGATGTTAACTGAATTATATTTTGTTAATAGAATAGTTATAATTTCATTTCATCATTTAAATGAGGATAAGACACTAACAATGAATGTGTAGAGTCAAGTTAAGTTTTTCTTTATTACAACTAATAAATACAAACAGTATTTAAATGGTCAAATATCTTTGTATATAATTTCATAATACAAATAATGTTAAAATGAACATTAAAATACAACAATAATCTATTGAATTTATTCAGCAGATGATTATGATATTAGTTTTTGAGTATTTAATAAGTTGTAGACATTCTATAATAGGACAATAAAGTAAACTTCTTTTTTATGTTCATTTATTCTCATTCATTTAAATATATTAATTCAACACATTTTAATATAATAAAAATTAAATGATAATGAACAATATTGTTTTAGTTTAAAATGGAAATACTAATATACAAAAATAATGAAGAAATAAAATTATAATATGAAAAAGATATATCAGCATAACGATTGTGTAATAAACAATAAGTTTCTTTTATATAACAATATTCTTGCATAATAGAATAATAAATTGCAATTTCATATAGCTTTTTTTGTTTGTGAAATTTTGAGTGGTTATGATGAAATAAAATGATAAAAAGAAAGTAGAATTAGTCTTTATCTTCTTTGTAGCCAACAACCATCTCTTGATCACCAAATACTTGGATAATACATATAAGAGACTTCTCATTAAAGTCATGTTCAATTTCTTTCCCAAGTTCATTTTTAGGAAGTTTAATATCACTTCTTACTGTCCCATCTTCATCAAGAAGAGTCAAATAACCATCATCAATGTCTTGAAGAGAATATTCTACTCTTTTTATTACGGGAACATCAACATTGGAATGAGCAGGACAACAGTCAGTGTACTTTTTCCCAGTGAAAACATCAATTCCAGTTAATGTTACTTTTGCATGTCCATGTTTTCCATCCTTAGTTTTATTAAATTCAGTGATTTTACATGGGAAAGTTCCAATGACAACAAAACCACCAACTTTCAATGAACCAGCTTTTGTTGGGATAGTGTGAATAGTATGATTATTCATTTGATAATCTTCATTGTATTTCATTGTTTCCATTATTTTTATTAATTAACCTATCTCCACTTTAAGTTTGAATATCTGAATCTTTGTACAAGAACATTCAATTGAGACTTTGCTCAAATACAGTAATAGTTTAGAAAGTGATTTTTTGTTAGTAAAGAAAGGTAACTCCTTAAACAAACCTTATTGATAAAACCAGAGGAAAATTTATTTAAGGGTGAGTCATGGTACAAAGAGTTATTGAGGATGATTGTTTACTTGTTAAAAGTTACTTAGTGTTAAAGAATGATGTTTGATATAAATTACAAAAAGAGATGTAGGAATAACGTCAGCGTTAAAGTAAGATGGATTATTTGAACTATTATATGCTCAGCTTTTTAAGTAAAGTTATTCTTACAAAGACAAATATTACTGTTTTTATTGTAAAATAAACTTATGAAGTAAGTTTTTTGAGGGTTAATAAAAAATTTAGTTCAACAGAATAAAGTTGAAGAAATTAATTTGTTCAGTTTTTGAGAAGATGAGAATATCAACAACAGGTAAATCTAGCAACAAACTTTTATAGTGTTAAAGAATAAAATTTAATGTTATAATGTATTAATTAACGTTTGGTTTATTCTTTTTTAAAAAGTCATTGGGATAATGTTTGTAGTTCAAAAACATCACCAACTGAAAAGGAGAATGAATGAAGTTAAAAGAATATGTTTATTTAGTTATTAGTACGAAGATACTCTTTTAATAAAACAAGAAAAAAGAATTTAAAGATCTTCATTTAACTATGTTAACTGATACACAAAGTTAGTTATATTTAATTTATTTGAGTAAAGAAATAATAGAATGAACAATTTATTAATATGTAGAAATAGGGGCAGTTATTACTGGTGTAGGAATTTTCTTTACATTTCTAGGAATTGTGTTTTTCTTTGATCGAGGATTTCTTACATTTGGGAATATTTTATTTATTTGTGGTATTTTCCTTGTGATTGGTATTCAACAAGCATTTGCATTTTTCTTTCAAAAGAAAAGAGCAATTGCAACATTTTTTTTCTTTCTTGGGGTTTTATTAATATTATTTAAATTTACATTTATTGGATTATTTATTGAATTCTTTGGATTCTTAAATCTCTTTGCGTTTGTTTATTATTGTATTATTGAGAATAGATTTGAAAGGTAATAAATAATAGTATTAACCATTAGAAACTTTATTCCTGTTGTACTTGCATTTTTAAGAAGAATTCCATATGTAGGAGAACTTTTGAATATGGGATGTATTAAACAATTTATTGATAGAACTTCACCAGACTATTGTTTACCAGAATAAATGACTTTATTAAATTCATATTAAAATTGATTTGTGTTTCTCCGTTTTAATGGAAGTTAAATGGAATAATGAATAAAAATTAAATAGACAAACATAAGAATTAGAAATAAAAAATAATTGATAATAAAAAGAATAATGAATTATGCTTTATTTTCTTGTAATATCTTTGAAATAGTAATTCTTATATTTTCATTTTTAATACCAAATAATAAGAATTGACTACATAATGCTAATATTGCATCTTTTTCTCTTTCACCTTTGATAAGTTCTAAAGCATATGGTTCGTCTTGCATTTGTAAAACTAGTCCTAGTCTTTTCCTTGGATTTTGTATCATTTTAAGGAATTTATTTCTAATATCTAATTGTTCTGCACGATGTGCAGTTAATGCAAGTAATTCACATGCAAAAGGTTCTAATTTTTTAATAGAAAGGAATTGTTCAAGTCTTTTCTTTTGTTCATCTTTATTACCAATTTCTTCTATTACAGCAATTTTAGCACGAAGTATAATTTTGTCATCCACTTCCATTGATTGTTTAAAAGTATTGACATTCCTTTCTACTTCTTTTTGGTCCATTTCAAATCCTCGATAGAATGACATGCATTGTTGATAAATAGAATCACTAGGAACTCCACTAACATTTTCACTACTTTTAATAATTTTTTCAGCCATTTCTTTATAAGACTTATCTCCATGAATTTCCCAAATCCATGTAGATTCATCTAAATAGGTTCTTTGTAAGAATTGAACTCCTGTAGAAAATTGAGATGTTGCAGTACTAATTTTCATTAATTGATCTTTATTTATTCTTTGATTGTTTAGTAATGATTCAAATAATAAATATTGGTCACTCCATCTTTGAAATAGAGCAAATGATGATTGTTGAATAACAGTATCGAATTGTGCACAGAATTTAAGAATATTTAAATTACCATCAACAGTTTGAATAATACTACTACAAGGTGTTTCAAGAATACTTCTCAATTGGGGTAATCCATTGAAATCAATTACATCATCATTGGTCATTACTTTATTAAGTAATGAACAAAAACTATATGAATCACTATATGCAATACATATTTTTGCAAGATATGTTAAATACATATGTCTTTGTTTTGGAGTTAAACTAGTTGGTAAATTACGAATGATCATATCACGACAAATATTAGAAATTGACGCTATTTCACAAATTATTTCTATTTGTGGTTTCTTTAAACACACATTAATTACTCTTAATAATGATGGTTGTGATAATTGATTCATATGTTGTTTAAATCGTGGAATGTCAGAATCAATTCCACATGCTATTCTTCTTGCTTTTCTATAACACCATTGTTCTTCTAATGACTCAATAGACATATCACATTCTGTTGACCAAACATTGCATAAAGAAAAAAGGTTAAGAGACACTAAAATACATTGAACTGGATGTCTATAAAATTCAGAACATCTTTTAGTATGATTATGTAATGAATCTTTAATTCTACATCGTTCAATAGCTGCAAGACTATAAAATTCTTTATAAGTCATCATACATCCATTATTATTCATTGTATGTAATAAACGAAGTAATTTAACAATTGTCTGCATAAATGGTGATCCTTTTTTAGCATCTTCTGGAGATGCAAGCATTAATCCATATGATGCACATCTCATTAATTGAATTTGACGTTCATCAGATGGTGGAAGAGATAATGCAGCTTTACAAACTATTTCTATTGATTCATAAACATGTTCAGAAAATTTATTTACAAATGATGCATCTTCTGGTTTAATAAATGATTGCCAAAGATAAGAAGCAGGGGAGTCTTGATTTAATTTCCTTAAATCAGGGTCATATGGACAGTACATTGCATTAACATATTTCTTTTCATTTTCAATTTCCTCTAAACAATGAAATCTAATTCCATCAACTTCTTGAATTATACAATACACATGGTCTATAGTATCTATTAAATATTCATCAGTTTCTGTATTAATTGAATGAATTTGAAAGACATTTGGATATATTTCAACTCCAAATAAATCATTATCAAGCCAAAAGAGTCTATTACTAGAACCAAGATGTGCTGTTTGATCAAAATTATATTCATATAGTAATTGTAATGTATAAGTATTTTGTGGAGCATTAATCATCTTTTCTTTATTATTTGGGTCTTTTATTTCAGTAATTCCTTTTACAGTTTCAAATTTATAAATGTTAATTTCAAAATTTTGTGTTTTAATATCTTTTTGTAATGCTAATAATTGACTTCCATCATAACTAAATCCATATGATAAAATTTCTAAATTTTTCTTTGTTTCAGCAGAGAAATTTAATGGTAAAGAAATAAGATTTGGGAATTTAAAATAAAAAAATAAATTCTCTGCCATATAAGCAATACCATTTTCATTTAAAAATATACCAATTAATGTATTTGCAAATCTATTATAATGTAATAATATTTCACTTGTCTCAGGAAACATTTTTCTTGTAAATTCAATTCTATCTGTTTTTAAATTAAAGATTCCTGTTATAACAATTGAACGTTTAATTCGTTCTTGTTTTTCTGGATTAACTACTTCTACTCCAAGTAATAACACAACACCTAATCCATAAATATATGCATTTAATAATTTTGGATTTCCTTGTCTAAATTTTGTTTTAGAATATGTATCATCAAGAACAACTAAATTTCCATCTGTTGTATAAATATGAATATATCTGTTTCTTGTTATAACAACTATTCGATAATCATCTAACCATCCTGCTTTATAAATATTATCTCCACTTTCTAATTCAACAATTTCTATATCATTTATTTTATTTCCTTTACCATCAGCAATAGAAATACTTGGTTTACTTTTTCCTCCACTACTAATTTTATTTGGATCAGGATAATATAAAATTGGTCCTCCTGCTTTACTACAAACATAAATATGATTTTCTCGATTAACCATTTTTACTTTAATTGGTTCTTCTGTATAAATAATTGCTTTTAATACTGTTTTTGATTCAATTAAATCTGGCTCCATTTCTAAACTACTTTTCTATCCTTTTTTAGTTCTTTTTTATTTTTCTTCTTTTTTATTTCTTGAAAAATATTTTCTTCTTTACAACAAAAAATCAATTTCATACAATATCTCTTTTTTATTCTTCTTATTATCTTTTATCATTTTAGTAATGGTGTTGTTTCATTAGTTAGTGGTTGTTGTTTATTCTTAATAACAGGAGACAAAACACCAGCATGTGTTGAGTTTGTTGTTGAACTGACTTTAACTTCAACAAATTGTTGTTCATTTGGAAGTACTTTTGAAGGAGAGACTTGAGGATGTGGTAAACATGTTTGAGACGTTGCTGTTTTATGAGGGTTTTCTGGTGATGAGATTTCATATCGGAGCTGGACGTTAGTTTGTCATAATAAAAAGACAAAGAAAGTCACAAACAAATGGAGGTTGTTCTGTTGTAATCAAACACATTGAATGACCTGGTGGTAAAGTTGATGAATTGTTATTTAAATATTCAGTGACACACCTAATTCCATCTGATGTCCCATGGTACATTGTGTGTGTTGTTTTACAACATGGAATACGTCCAGTAACAAGTACTGATTTAGTGATACATGACTGAAGTAGTAAATTGATTGAATGAATATATTTAGTATATTCCATAGGATCAATTTTACCGTTTAGTTCATTAGGAATAATTTCACTGAATGATAATGGACAATGGAATGTGTATGTCACAGATGGAATGATAATGATGGTTTTACTCATAATTTTAACTTTATTAAGAATTTTTAATTCAAATTTTAACTTTGATTTTTCCTAAAATCTTTTCTAATTTTTGAAATAAATAACAAAAGAATCTTGTCATTCATTAAACCGTTGGAAAATGTATTAATGTCTATTCATTTTTTTGTAAGCCTTTTGTTGTTATGGCATCACTAATATTTTTTTAGTGCAAACAAAATGTTTTAATTCTTGTTAGTGAATGGTTCTTAAAAGTTATTCAATTTATGAGTTAAGAAGACATTAATAAAATTTAATACATTCAAAAATAAATGAAAATATGTACTAATATTTTAAATTAAGAAGTTATTCATTATATTATTTTGATATTCTTATTGTTACTTATTAAATATGCTTTTGATGTAATTAAGATATTGTTTCTATTTCAAATGTGTTTCATTATTATTAAAGAAGTATTATACATGTTGTATTTTAAACATTGTTAATTTCATTAATTTGATGTTTGTTTAAACATAATTGATATATAGATGTAATAAGAAATGAATTTTAATTTTAACATTGATTAATGTTATAAATCATTTATTATTTATTCATATAATGTAGAAATGAGTTTATTTAAATAAATAAAAGAGAAACAACAAATAATTCAATAAATATCATAAAGAAGTAATACATAGAATATTTGATTATTATTTATATTCTATTTCTTATCATATTTATTCTATTTGTCATAATCATTTTTATTTATATTAAATGATGTTAAAACAAATAAATAAAGTTTAATGATTTATCAACATAGAATATTTGTTTTATTTCATTGATACATTCTATTGAAATATTATTGAGATGTTATTACTTATTTTAACATAATTTATTGTTATATTTCATTCATTATTTATTATTTGTCTATTTATAAGTTAATAAAAATACAATATTTCTTATTTTATTCTTCAGTTTATTCATTTCTTTTATCATTATCTACTATGTTTATTTTATTACTGTGTACAACATTGTTCAATTCATTTATTCTCTTATTATTCATATCATTTGATTTTTACAAATAAAATATAATGTAGAAATAATATGTTTGTTTTTTATTTTGTTGTTGACTCTTCATGATTATTATACAATATCATTTCATCATTATTCTATTCTTTGTTATCTATTGTAACTGATTTAAATTTATTTGTATTTATTATATCTTATCTCATTATTATTCTGTTTCATTGAAATTGACATTTATTCAATGTATAATAAAAATTATCAAATGAATATTTGAATTAGATTATGGATATTATATTAATGAAACATATTATAATTCAATTATTTTAATTTATTTATTCATTTTCATTAAATAAAGTGTTAATTATAATTTGTTTGAATTTATTTATCGTGTTCTCTATCTATCTTATATTATAGAATCTGTTTAGTTATTTCATTTTCTTATTATTCTTATTAATGTTATTAAAACATTGTGAAATAAAACTATTTAATTAATATGTTAATGAACATTATTTGTTCTTTATTCTCTTGAAACATCAATAAACAATATTATTTCAATATATTTATTGTTTCATTCAATCATTTTAACTGTTAATTATATTATTTATTGTTGTAGTATTAATTATTTTTCATTTCTATTATCATCAAAACAACTATTTCTTACATTATTATATTTTATTATTCTTATGAAATTTATTGAATAAATCACTTCATTTATTGAACACTAAATAATATCATTCTCATTTAAATGTAACCATATTTTGATATTTCTTAAATAACAAATTAAATGCATTGAAATAGAATGATAATTATGAATATCTTTTATTTCATTTCTGTGTTTGTATTAAAAATTGATGAAATGTTGAAAATAAAATAAATTACCATGTCATTGAGTTGAAGTTCAATTTGTTCTATTCTTCTTTGTATAGATTATTAGTTCTTTCTCATAAAATAATGTTGTAATTGTAAAACGAGTATTTTAATACAAAATATTCAATAAATTACTCATAATATGAAATATTCATTTATACTTCTCCATGAATTTCCATTGTTTCAAGAAAACAATTCTCTTGTATTATTATTCTTGTAAATATTTTTATCTTCTTCTTAATTCAAAAACCCATTATTCTTGAATATGTTCCAGATGGTGAAATTCAAATAGTTGGTATTCAAATATCACTCAATCAATATTTGCAATTAAACATCATTGTGGATATAATTGATGGCTTTCCTCTTTATACTTATTTATAACATTCTTATTAACATTAATAATATTGTTATACACAGTTTGAAATGGTTTTTAGATAAAGAACAAGATTCAATACCTTGCTTTTTGAAGTATTTGTTTTATATGTCGTTGAATGAATTAAACAGAAAATGATTGAAATACTACTTCTCAAAATAACTTTACATCTGAAATTAAATCATTTTGTAAATATGTTCATTTGAATGAAATGACTTTCACTTTATATTTAATATTATATCATACAATATATGTTATTATTAAATTGTCTTGATGAAATTCTAATTCAAAATTATTCTCTCAAAATATTCTGTTATATTTTGTTTGAATTGAATCATTCTATTTCTTTGAATATTCAAAATACATTAATCACAATATTTTATTGATTAATACTAATTGAATATCTATAATACAACTGTAAATGTTCAAATACTTTCATTTGTTATTCTTTCTATTTTATACTCATCATTTGTTTCATTGTATATAATTTTGTTCATACAATTATTCTTATTTATATTATCTTGCTTAGTTCTATTGTTATGAAATAATCTTTGTTGTAAAATTAAAAACATTAATAATTACAATACCAAGAAAGATTATATGAACAATTTCTGATGAATAAAATTCATAATTCATTTTGGAATTATTTGTTTGTTGTTATTCATTTTAATATTGATGATTCTCTTTAAAATTTCATAGTTTATGAGTGTAATGAATAAGAAATGTAATAATTGAAATGAGAATACCACATATTAATAAAACCATGCTTCTCTCTTGTTTATACATTTCATTACTAATCTGATACAAATTAATAATAAACAAAATGATATAATTGATAAAATAATGAATAGAACAAATATTATCAGTGTTTTATTCATTTGAATTCACTTGAATAGAACTTCATTGATATTTTTTAACAGTCTATAAAATTGAACAAAATACAACAACATTTTTATAATTCTTCATTTCCCAACTTTTTGATTGAAATTGATTAGAATTTGTATAACATTACATATAACAATTATTATGAAATAAACATTATATTCTATTGAACCAATAACCAGATATATACAAACTATTGATGTATTTATATTTATTACTCTTATTCTTTCTCATGAATTATCGCAATAATAATTCAAATAAGTACATTGAATCTATTCATGTTTAATTATCTATTGTAGAAAACTACACGTTGAACTTAAATCAATAAGTACATGTTGTTGAGTATCTTCATTATCAAAAATAAAGACGAATAACTTCATTATTTTTCAATAAAAATGAAGAGAGAAAATAATAAATTAGTCGACAGATATTGACAATGGAATAATAAACTATAATTATAGAAAGAAAGATGAGTAAAAGAAAGAAGAATATAAATAAATTAACATGATATTACTGATAATGATTCAATAATAAATAGAACTCGAGAGAATGAAAATCATAAAGAAATAAAAGAGAATATCAATAATGATTGTTTTTACATTTGACCAAATATGAAATGAATATATAATAACTCTTTTTATCTAACAAGTTGAAATGTTTCATGAGATTATTCATTGAAAACATGAAAATTGTATTTTATGATTCTTAAAACATAGAATTCACTTTGACTATGAAACTTTCATTCATTAATTCATAAACACTGATTTTTCAATTTATGAAAATCAAAATTCAATGAATCATTCAAATTCATCAACAAATCGTCATTAACATTCTCTTAATCATTTTCAATATTCATATAATTCTGTTTACTCTTTAACTTTCAATTTCTCAATATGAAAATAGAAATTAAATTAAATTATTTCAATATCATTTATTTTGTAATATAATTATATAACAATAACTATAGTAATGACTAATAGTTAATATTATTCACTTTGTATTGAATGTGACTATTAAAATATGAAATAAATGAATGACTCATTGACATTGATATTTATTGATAAAGAAATAAGTATAACACATCATTATCAACAGAATTATTAACATCAATAAGAATAATACAACCATGACAATTAAAAATAAATTTAAATTATAAAATACTAATTAATAAAATATAATAAAAACATGAAAAATCTTGGTTAGAAATTAAATTTTTATCATTATTATAGTGATATATTCACTTTAGAATATTAATATTTGCTTGATCCATAAGAGAAATAGTTCCATTTAAAAAAAACAATAGAACAACCACCCTTCACTGTGAAGAAAAATAACTGACATTCATAATAATAAACCCCTTTTTCTTTTTTATTTATTGAGATGAGGATCTATGAAATATTATTCATTATGTCTAAACCTGATACTCAACTTCTTAAAGAATTTCTCATTGGTTGTATTCAATTAAAACAGAAAGTTGGTGCAACTAAAGAAGTTGTTAATCAAATTGCACATAAAAGTTCTTATACAAACACAATTTTAAAAACAAAACATAGTGAAGTTAATGTCATTAATCAAATAGTTCAACAAACCAAAGAAGAGACACTTACCCTTATGAACGCAACAGAAACAACAATGAATAAATGGAGTTCAGTAATCACTGAAATCCAATCTCCTTCACGACAAAACAACTTTCCTTCTTTTGAACAAGAAGAGAAACGATTACTCAATGCCCAAACAAAAGTTGAAGATATGAAACGTATTGTTAATGCTCTTAACGCATCTTCTAATGATAATGGTTTACAAAGTCTTATTGAACAATTAAAGCCACCAACGAAAGAATTCAAAGACTTGAAACTACTACTACATCCAGCCTTGTCCCGATTAAAATTAAATCTGAAGTACCTAAATTTGATATTCGACCAAGAAATGATATTGATGAGATAAAAGAATCATTTACTGCTTTCAAAACAGAAATGGACAAAATGGCAGACATAGAGGAAACATGGAGAAAGATGAAAAGTCAAACAGATGAAATGAAGAAACTTCAAGAACAAATCATCAAAGAAAAACAAGAAAACGAAAATTATTTAAAACAACTTAAAGAAGAAGCTGAAATTAAGAAAAAAACACAAAAAATTCAAAGCATTCCTTCAGAACAAAAAGAAGTGATTGAAAACAAACAGAAGACTTCAAAAGTTGAGTCTATTCAAGAACCAAAACCTCTACTTCATACCGAAACAGTACCAATCATTAATTCAAATCCATTCAATCAAATACAAAATCCAACTCTTATACAGAAAGAAAAAACCTCATCAAATGCTGTACAAAATAATGCCCCAGCAAAACCTTTTCAAGAGAAAGATGTACAACAAAACAATCCATTAACTCAACAAAAAACAGTTGTATGGGGAAATTCAATCCAACCACAAGTTAGTTCACAACAACAACCAATTTCACAACCACTAGAAGTCAAACAGACAACAACCCAACAACAAAAAGATGAGTGGAAAGTACAATTTCAACAAAATACACAACAACCAAACACACAAACACAACCTCAAAAAGACATCTGGGGAAATCCAGTACAACCACAAAATAAAACATCACAAACTGGACAAAATACACAAACACAACAAAGTCTAGTACAACAACAAAATACACAAACACAACCTCAAAAAGACATCTGGGGAAATCCAGTACAACCACAAAATAAAACATCACAAACTGGACAAAACACACAACAACAAAATACACAACAACCACAAAAAGACGTTTGGGGAAATCCAATACAGCCACAAAACACAAAACAAAATCCATTCCAACAACAAAACACACAACCACAACCTCAGAAAGACATTTGGGGAAAGCCAGTACAATCACAACCTGGACAACAACAAAATCCAGTACAACAACAACAAAATACACAACCTCAGAAAGATGTTTGGGGAAATCCAGTACAATCACAACAACAAAACGTAACACAAAATCCCTTTGGACAACAACAAAACGCACAACAACCACAAAAAGACATCTGGGGAAATCCAGTACAGTCACAAAACACACAACCACAACCTCAGAAAGACATTTGGGGAAATCCAGTACAACAACAAAATGGAACACAAAATCCCTTTGGACAACAACAAAATGGAACACAAAATCCCTTTGGACAACAACAAACATCCTTTAATCAATTTCCACAACAACAAAATCCTTTTTCTCAATTTTCTAAATTGGCAAATGGTTCTACTAATACACAAATGAGCTTCAGTCGTATTGATCCTGCTGCTAGAGCTGCAGGTATTCAACAAACAAATCCACTTGATGCTTTCAAAAATGCAGGATTATTTAAATGAATTTTTTAGAAAGTTATTTTTAGAAAGTTATTTTTAGAATAGATACCTTGTCTCATTCACTAATCTTGAAAAAGATGAAGATGAGTGATTGTGTTGCACCAACATCATATAACTACTTGTTCAAGATACTTCTTGTTGGTGATCCTAATGTTGGGAAAAGTTCATTACTCTTACGATATATTGATAATGTATTTAATGAAGATACTACTACATCTATTGGTGTTGATTTTAAATTTAAGTCTATACTTATTGATGATGTAATTGTCAAATGTCAGATATACGATACAGTTTGTTAACTTTTTATGTTCTACATCAACAACCATTTACAAAAAGGCAGGACAGGAAAAGTTTAGAGAAATAGGCAATTCATATTACAATGGGGCACATGCAGCTCTGTTAGTCTTTGATGGTGGGGATGTTTCTACATTCCAAGTGCTTGAGATATGGCTACGAGATATCAGAAAATATAACACCAATATCAAAATACTTCTTGTTTGTAATAAATGCGACCAACCAGTAAACATCCCTGAAGGAACTATTAGTTTATATGCTAATGAAATTTCTGAAGAAGGAAAATGGATAAAAACATCAGCAAAAAATGGAGAAGGTGTTACTGAAGCATTTGAAACAATGATTAGAATGTTATTACCAAAGAAAGATGAAGAAAATGGAATTAAAAAGCATAAAAAGAAATGCATTTTCTTCTAAATGATTATTTAAAAGAAAAGAAAAACAAAACTAAAGAAGTATAATTTAGTGTTTAGCTTCAAAATTTTTACTAAAAGCACGAAGAGCTGCAACTCCTCTAACTTCATTTGTTTGCATATTAATTTTGATTAAATGAAAATCTCCATAAAGGACATCAATTTGACCTAAATACTTTGCCTGAATAGCACGTTTATTTTTACAGTAATCACAACAGTCATTAACAGGTAAAATTTGATTAACAATAATGGAATTAGCATCCATGTTTAGATTCATTAATTCTTGAATAAGTCGTTCAGTTTCATACAATGGTAAAAATTCTGGAATAAGTACAGGAATAAAAGTAGTCAAATTGGGATTAGTGAAATCTTCAACAATTTGTTCCGAAGTTTTAAGCATATGTTCCATTTTAGGTTTTAATTCATTAAAATTAATATTCATTCCCATCATTCCACCAAATTGACTCATCATTGGACCAAATGAATCTTGTAATTTAATAACTTTTTCCAACATATCTCTTAAAAGTGTAGGTAAAGATAAGAAACGAAGGGTATGTCCTGTTGGTGCAGTATCAAAAAGAACAAGGTCATAGTTCATTTGTTGTGCTTGACTATGTGATAAATATGTAATGTTAACTCTGTTAATTCTATTATAACAAACTTAATTATTTGTGAAAAGGCAATAGCCTCATCAATACCTGGTACTGACTTAAGCATTCCCATCATTCCAGTAAGTTCTGAAAGTAATCCAAACCCCCCATTTTGGTTGGTTCCTTGTTCACTCTCATCAAAAACCCCTTTCATTGCATCTTTTACATCAATTTCCATGACAGAAAGATTTGGAACACCAGGAACAACTTTAGGTTCTGCACCAAATTTAATATCAAAAGCATCGGAAGTGTTATGAGCAGGGTCAGTAGAAATAATAAGTACTTTCTTTTGTGGATTTCTATCAGCAATTAACACACCAAGACTACAAGATGTTGTAGTTTTTCCTACACCACCTTTTCCACCAACAAAAACCCATTTAAGAGTTTGAGATGTGATAATATGCTCAAGATTATTTGGGGGGTTTAAAGACATTGATATAGAAATGAAGAAGGTTAAGATTATTTTAATTAATAGGTATTATTTTTGATACACCACGTGGATGGAATAAATAAGAAACAGTGATGTTTTTTCATGTTTGTTTTTAAAGATTTTAAACTTAAAAAAAAGGAATTGTTTTGATGAACTTTGAAAATGATGATTATACTCTCAAAATTTGTATGGTTGGTGATTCGTGTGTTGGAAAAACATGCATTGTTAATAGATTTGTAACAGACACATTCGATCCGTATGAAAGAGAAACTATTGGAGTAAATTTTATTTCAACTATGGCACCAATTAAAGGACAAATGCTCAAAGTAACGATATGGGTTTGTTATAATTTCAGTAGAACATACAAAGAAAAAAATAACAATAATGTAGGATACTGCAGGACAAGAGAAATTTAGGTCTATGATTGATTTGTACTTTAGAAAAGCAGTTGGGGCTTTTATTGTTTATGATGTAATGTTAAGAGACTCATTCCAACACTTGAGCTATTGGATAGAAAGGGTAAGAAATGTCGAGCCAAATGTAAAAATCTTAATAGTTGGTAATAAAATTGATAAACAATCAAAAATAATTTCAACAAAAGAAGCAGAGAGGTTTGCAAATGATAATCATTGCCAATTTATAGAAGTGTCTGCTTTAGATGGGACAAATATTAAACAAATGTATCAAACAATGTTTGACTCACTTGACCCTCTAGTTCAAAATAGTCCAACAGTAGCTTTGGAAAATAAACAGTCAAATGATAAATCAGGGTGTTGTTAATATTAAATCCTTCAAAAACCAAAAGAGAAATTCGTTCAGAAAAGAATCTTTCATTTAATTTTGTAAAGCCTCAATCATATCTTCACATAAATAAAGAATCCACATAATTGCTTTATAATAATTTTCATAATATAACATTTCTTTAAATGATAAGAAAGTTTGTTGAATGTCTTTAAAAAGAGACAAATATGGTTTTGGAACTTTTTTAATATTAAGATTCTTTAATGTTAAAAGAATGAAAGAGAGTTTAATTTCTATTAATTCAGTAGATAAATTAGATACAAGAAATGTTAATAATGATAATAAGACTTCTGTTTTAAATGTTGTTTGACAAAATATATCAACAGGAATTGATTGAAGATAAGCAAGAAGTAATGCATGATTATTAATTAATAAAATTTCTTCTATGTCTAATGCAATAGAACGATGCTTTGAATCTTTTATTTGAATAGAAGAGTTTTGAGTATTTAATTGTTCTATAAAAGAATTTAAATTCATTTGATTTTGTTTTAATTCATTAAGCATTTTTTGTTTTTCAAGAATAATTTGGTTAATTGAAGGTAATAATTGTTCTGTAGTTTGTATTTTAGTAAGAATACGAGCACTATCTATTTTTTGCATTTCATTTACAATGTTTTGAATTTTATCCATTTCAATTTGAGAATGTTCAATATCGTTTTGATATTTTTGAATAAATACTTTAGAATCAATGTCTGTGTATGTTGATAATTGAATTTGATCAGTATGTGGAATATAGTCTCTTTTCATAATTATTGCATCTTCATCACATTTTTGATGTAATTCTTTTATAAATTGTTTTCCTTTAACAACTTTGTCTAAAATATCCAATTCTATTTAATTAGTATTAATTTATATTATATTGGTATGATTTAGTATAACAAACGAAATCTATTAACTTGTTCCATTTCAGTTCTACAATTTCTTTCTATTTGTTCTAATGGACTTAGATTATGTCTACTTCCAATTTGACCTCTTCTGTTTGGTCCAGGACTTTGAGAGAATTTTGATGGTGTAGAAGGATGACTCATAAATGAAATGAAGATTTTAAGATAAAGATTTTATTTTATTATTTTTTTATTATCGTCTTTAACTTTCAATATCTTTTTTTTAGTTAATTAAATATAATAAAATTACTCAGTCAATTATCTTCATACAAATGTATGTTTATTTTGTTCAGTAGTCATTAAATAGGCAGCTCGTTCATCTCCAACAAGTGACCTTAATCGAGAAGTATCCATATGGTTATAAAGAATATGAACACTAGCATCATTAACACTTCCTGGAATCATATTAATAAATTCTGCAACATAATGAGTTGGTGTTGGAACTTCATAAAATAAAAGGTGTTGAATTCCTTTAATTCTAAATCTATTAAAGAAATGAAAACGTTCAGTAATGACAAAGAATTCCCATTCATCTTCATGATAAAATCTTGAACGAGCAGAAGAAATAGCTTTAGTAGATGAATATTCACATAAACAAATACATCTAAAATTTTCAGTATTTAAATATTGTTTAATTCTTAAATAATCAAAATAACTTGGAATATATAATAATGTTTTTGATTTAATACCATCTGAATATCCTTGAAGAAATATTTTAGTGAAATATTCAAAACGTTCATCAGGAGAATTCATTGGAGTTGTAGCTTTATATTTATAAAATGTTATAGGAATAGTTCTAATCATTTGAGATAATGTACCTTTTATTGTTCTTTCTGATATTTGAATAATATGATTATTTAAACATAATCTAATTACTGAATTTAATAATGGTGTTTGATATCTAGAATAAATAATGGTTTGTCTATAATATCCTCCTTTTTCATTTATTTCATGTTCATAAACTCTTCTAATATCTGTGGCATGTTGTTTCATTGGTATTTTATTACATTTTTTAATAATTTCAATTAGATGAGAGATGTTTTGCATTTCCATAGTATCAATAGATTCTAAATACAATACTTTTATTGATGATAATATGTCTTGTCCTTCTCCATTATTACTCTTTGCTATAAATGTTTTAATACCTAATGGAGATGCAATAATTAAATCACTTTCATAAAAATTAGAATAAAAATGAACACCATTCATTCCAAATTTTACTCCAACTCTAAAACAATCATCTTCATTCCCTTCAAAAATTTGATAAAATTCTTTTGGTTTCATTGTTTTAATTTCTAATGGAACATCTCTAAATTCTTGTGCAAATCGTTCTTCATTTGCAATATTTTGTTGAAATTGATTTCCAAAGATTGTTAATAATGTTTTTATAAAAATAATTGCTGGTGTTTTAAATGGAAATAAAACTAATACAGATGGTTTAACAAGTCCCATATCTCTTATTTGTTCTTCTTTATGTTCAAATGTATGTTTCATTCTTAATAATCTGATTTCTCTAATATGACATGCAATATGCAATGTTGTTAATAATCTGTGTAATGCAAATTCTTCATCACTCATATGTTTAATAATAAAAGTATCTGAATAATTTCTTAATCCATTAAATTCTTTTATCATTAAATCGTTCAGTGTTAATTCATTTACTTTTAAAAAGTCTTTAAATTCTTTCCAAAAACTTATTGGAACTGAAGATGGTCTATCATTCTTTTTTGTTATTATTTCATTAACTTCATAATTACTTTGAATTTGATAATTTTCATTTTTTTCTATTATTTTTAGTGGTTGTTTTAATGCAGCTTCTTCAAATGGTCTTTGAAGAAAGTGTGATGAATTACAATCATCTTGAATGTCTGTTGGTATTTGAGAAAGATTTTCTTCTTCTTCAATTTTCACTTCTTCAAAAATATCATCTCTTTCATCAATTTCATCATCAGGAATAACTCTTCCTACTTTTTCTATATTACTAACTTCATGTTTTATTTTATCAAGAGAATCATGTTCATTGAGACTGGGTTCTCTGTCTTTTAGTTTTTTTAAATCTTTCTTTGTCTTTTTACTTTGAGATTGATGTTGTTGTCTTCGTTTCATCTCAAAGCACTTTACTTTTTAAACCCTTCTTTTTTTTTGTTATGAAAAACGAAAATTTGATTTAATTAAACAAAGTTAAATAGTTAAAAATACTAATAAAAAACTAAAAAATAACAGTTTATTGCTTCAATATAAATCAAATTTTTAAATACTCAATGCAATATCAACAACACACATCTGTCATTTATTTGTTAGTTACTTTTCTTGGAGTTTCATTTGGACTTATTACTTTATTGTATACTTATCAACGAACATTGACTCAAACATCATTTCTCAGTTCAAAGACATTACTTGATAATACAACGATTAATGCATTTGCTTATTATAAAGGTGGGTATCAAATAATTCAACAAAATATAATACCAAATTTAAATGGAACATGTACTGCTTCTGATTATCAATTAGAACAAATTTTTGAATTATTATTTCATCATCGAGGAAATGTATTTTTTAGACAATTTATTCCATTTTATTCAAATACATCAGAAAGTATTTTATTAGCTGATACAATAATTGAATTAAATGGTAAATATGATATTAAATTATATACAAGTTGTTCTATTCAAACAGGAATATTTATTAATCCTTCTTTAAGTATTAATCAAAATAATGGAACTGTTACTATGCTTAAATGTTATTTAGCTGTTACTAATTGGATTCAAAACGATCTTAATTCACTTAGAAATATAGTTAAACCTCAATTACTTGAAGCTTCTCGTTTGAAACTTGATCATTTACCATCAATTACTACACTCCAAACAATGAATCTTGTATTTAATTCAGAAAAAAGACCAGTGTTTAGAGGTGTTATTAGTGGAGATGGAGAAAATGTAATTACTATTAAAGGTGTTTCATTTGAAGAAGAAACTCAAAAATTTCAAATTATGATTTTATTAAATATTTTCGTTATGGTTTATTACATTCAATCATGGGTTGTATTATCTTCTGAATCAAATGATACTCCTCCAACATCATTTATATCTTTATCTCTTTTTCCAGTATAATTTATTGTTTATTTCTTTATTGTTTTTATTCATTATTGAATGGTTGAATTATATTATTAATTTTCGTGTTAAAAATATGAGTTAAAATCATTTCTCTTTAATTGAACATCATTTAATAATATCAAAATATTTTTTTTTTGGTTATATTTAAATTCTTTTGATAAAAAGTTGAGAAAAATAGAATATACTTTAGAAGGTATTACTGAATCTCTTTTTATATTTCTTCATATCATACATACTAATTCATTTTTTAGTAATTTGTTGTTTGTTGTATTATTGACTATTGTATAACAATCATTGAGTTTCTCCCATTTCTTCTCTTATGATATTGTTTTTTGTTCTTCTGTTGTGGGTAAATTAACAAAAGATTTATTTTCATTAAAGAATTATGAAAGGTTATATAGTCTATAATACCTCCTGTTTCTTCAATAAAATACATAAAGAATAATATCAACTTTGTCTATCATCTACACTATTGGTATTTATTTTGATTATGAATAATTACATCAACAAATCAATGTACTTTGATTATTATCATTTTACTTTAATTATAATTATCGTAACAAAGTGTATGTATTATTTCAATAAAGATATTGTAATGTAAATAAGATTTATAACACTACAAACCAAATATAAATTTGAAAACTATCTCATATATCTTTTCATTGATTATTTATCATTTTAATTGTAATGAAAATTGTTTATTAAATACAATTAAAGTATGTACATTCAATGATTATTAATTGGTTGTAACTAATGATATTGGTTAAGAGATGAAAAACATTAAGACATTTCTTTTAATGGTTTGAATAACAAAAAAAAATAAGAAAAATGAACTTAAAAAACAAAATAGATATTTAAGAATGACAAGTACGACAGACTTAAAAGAACAATATGAACAAGCAAATAAAATGAAAATTGCCACATTACCAGAACAAATTACACCAATATCTGAAGAAATAAAAGAAAAAATAAAGAAAATGTTTGCAAGAGAAAAAAGAACAAGAGGATTAAAATATATGATGCATGGGAATGACAATCTTCTTCGATTAAAAGAAGAATTATTTGAAGGATATAATCTTGTTGATTCAAAACAAAAAGAAAACAAAACAATAAAAACACAAAAAACACATGATGACAGTTATTATATTATTATGCCATCTGTTTCTGCTCCTTTAAATCTTGATAATATTCAACAATTCATTAAACAAACAAAATATATTAAAAGTTCATTATGTGATACAGTAAATGGTGTTGTTGATATTACATATCAAGGAGTTGTATATCATTTTATTAATAAACCAACAAATGATATTCCAAAAGACAGAATTGTTGCAGTGTTTTTAATTGATGAAGATTGGCAATTTGAAGATTTACCATTTAAAACACCAGAAGAATGTACAAGTAAATGTTGTTGTTTTTATGTTTCATTAAATCACCAACAACTTCCAATGAAAATATGGTTAAGACATGCACAAATACTTCATGTTTGTTTAAATTATAAACAAATTTTCTTTTAAAGAAGAAGAAAGTTAATAAAGTAGCTTGAAACAGATAATAAAAGAAATTGGGAAGAATGTATTAATAATTTTTGGAGTACGTTGAGAAGTTTTATACATAACAAAGAAAGAGAATATCGTAGATATTGATATTGATTTGTTTTGTTTTATCTTTTCTAAGTTTTATTTCATTAATAAGAAGAAAAATGAAAAAATAATAATAGTAGAAGAGAACTTTTAATTGTTTTAGTTTTAAATGACGGTTAATTCATTCCAAATAACTAACTATTTGGGTTTCCCTTTATTAGTTATAGGATCAGAACAAGGTATTCGATTGGTTAAATATAAACCAGAATATTGTTATCCATTACAACATATTTTATTTCCAATTGAAGGAGTAAAACAGGCTTTTTTATTTAAACAATATGTCTTGTATTTCACTCATTCATACTCAAAAACAAGTTCCCCTAATAGATTACTTTTCTTTGAAATAGGAAGTAATCTCTTTGATGATTTGGAAAGTCCAAAAAAATATAATGCAATAATTAATCAAAAAAAACTAGATGACATTGATTTAGTACAAATACCATTAAATTCAAAAATTATTGCAATGAAAAAAGTTGGAGAAGAATATATTATGGTTTTATGTCTTAATATGTTATTTTGTTTTGATAAAGAAATGGAATATGTCTTTTCTATAGAAGTTAATCATCCTACTGGTATTACTGCATCACAGTCAAGTATTAATATAATGTATATTTCTGATAATCATTATTGTGTTGATGAAAAAAAATTTATGGATAATAAGACACTTAATAACGTTAAGACTTATCAAAACTGTTATTGGAGAGAAATAGTCTCATTAATGGGTTATTCAAATGAAGAATATATCATTACGGCTATGGTTGTTTCTTCTTCTATTGAAATTAAAGTATTACAAGGAATTAATGAAAAAAAGAAATTTATTATTACAAAACCATATGACTCAACCATCCGATTTGTTGGTGTATATGGTAAAGGAAATAATAGAGTTATATTTATTGGAATAAACAACTATATTTATAGTGCTATTATATCACATGATAATCCCAAAATGAATAGAAACGAAACTAAAGAACCATTTAGTTTTGGAAAGTCAAGTAGTCTTATTACTTTTGGAGAAAAAGAATCAAAAACACAATGTTATGTAAATATTTTCCATGGAAATGTTCAAACAATCTTTAGTTATGATTTTCTTACTAATAAACTTCAAAAGGAAATGACACCGATGATTGGCAAACTTTAAAATTTATTTTTTATTTAAAATTTCCATTGTTGAAGTAATTTAGGTTAAATTGAAGTTAACAAATTTGAGGTCAAAACTCTTTTCATCTTCTTATTTCAATTAATAGTATGAGTCAAGACTATCAACCTATGTTAGTCTCAATGAGTGAAATTACTCCATCTTTACATTTATCTCTTTTAAATAATAACAATGATGCGGTTTGAATAATTTTCTTTTAATATTTTGTTAAAATGAATTAACGTTAATAGCATGCTATAGACTCTTTTATTGATCAAATTCTTAAAGTAAAGTATATTCCATTACCTGTTGTTACGTTTGTTTTTATGTTAATAAAACAAAGAAAATTAATGTTTATAATGTAATTTTATATAAAAAAAAAGTTAATAAAGTATTAGTGTTGGTGCGTTGAGTCATTGTTATAAAATTATTTTTGCATTTTGGAAAGAATTAAATAAAGCAATTTCTTTTGGGTACTCTTCTCAATCAACTACAATTGTTATGTCACATATTTCTAATTGTGTTTCATAGTTTGTATTTATTAATATCTATTTATCTTTAAAAATAAGTATGATTAATCATTTAGTGAAGCAATTAAATCAGTTTCCTCCCTCATAGCAAAGAATAAATGTAATATTTTATTACCAACATTTCTTATGTATAAAGCACTGTGTTTAGATACATTTGCTTCTTTAACACAATTACTTGAAAAAATAAGACAACAAAAAACTATTATTCAAACAATTCCTTTAACATTTACTGTATTGTATGGAGGATTATTAACATCATTATCATACGCTCTTCCTTCTCTAAAAGAATCAATTCATTCTAATATCATTGATAGAGTAAATGATATTTCTTGTGGAACTCCTCCATATGGAGAAACATCACCAATGTTAGATGCTGATAAAAAGATATCAGGAAGTTCAATGTATATCAGTGATGAAGTTCATTTAAAAGCAATCCATTACATGCCTTTTAGGTCTAGAGGAGAATTTGTTGCATCAGTATTAAGAGGATCAATTTTGTTTGTTTCTGAAACGAAATGTGAAACGCTTGAATGTTCTGATGATTTCCAAGATTTTATCAATGAATTTATTAAATGGAGAACATCATCTTGGAAATCAAATGAATGGAGAGATATTACTTACATTATGTGTGAGGATGCAATGATTAAAAAAATGCCTAAAGAATTTAATAAAACATTAAAAATATATGCTCATTCAACGAATTTATATGACATAGAAAAAGTAATATTCTTATCGGATTATATTAAACGATGTTTAATATTATTAGTTGGTCTTCATCCAAATTTTGTAATTGATGAACACTTGGATATAGAATCACTTTTAACAATTATTAAAATATTTATTACTACGGATAATGCAGAAGCATTAACTAATTTATTAATATTACTTATTGAATTACTTCCTTTTTTAAATGGTAATTCACGTAAACGAGTTGTATTTGATTTATTACTAGAACAATACTTTAGATACTTTTTTATGCATTGGTGTGACTCAGTTCAATTTGCTTTTCAAACAATTTTATTATATCGAATCACTCTTGCTCGTTTCTCTAAATTAGACTGTTTACATCCAAAAGAACTTCAATTATATTCATCTCGTTGTAGAGTTAACTATAATTCTTTATCATTTGACTGTAATGTAGTAAAACGAATGAATGAACGTATTGAATTATTGAAAGATATTTTAAAACATTTAGAACCAAATGACAAAAATTTTATCCCTTTAAAACGTTCTATGATGATATTTAATGAAAGAAGAAAAGAGTATGAACTTAACTCAAAAAAATATAACGGTGGTGCTTTACCTAAAATCTCTTTTTTTCGTCCTGAATCTTTGGAATAAACTTAGAATTTAAAGTCTTGTATTTTTCATTGTATTATCTTTTCATCACCTAAATACTCTTTGTTCCGTTAAGAAATAACTCAGTATTTTTTTGTTATTCATTCCACAAATGTTCCTTTGTTCTAATTGCAAAAAAAAAGAAACATTCTTTCCTTTCACTTATTCTATCTTAATTAATCTTAATAAAAAAGATGTTTCGATAAGAGCCATTTGACTTTCCTTAGTTGATTCGTTGATTATGTCTTTTATCTTATTTCTGTTCTTTGGTCCATCCTTAATTTCACTTTTGTTTAGATTGATAATTAATGTAATTCTATCTATTCTAAAAGTAATTTATATCTATCTTTTATTTTTATAAACCTAGAATGTTTAATTGATTTTTAAGGGATAGTATAAATATTCTGAAGATATTGCTAATTTCTTTAGATACAACATATGTTGTTATATCATGAAATAACATGATTATTATAAAATAAATGTATTAATCAAACTTTGTTTCAAGCCACACCTTTAGGTTTAATGTCTGGCAAAGTAGTTGAGAAGAAAAAATATTAACTATAAAAATAATTGAATGAAATGGATAAATCAAAATGCTCTATATAATTTTTTTAAGTTTTCATCTAACCATCATTTTCTTTATGTATTGTATCTTCTTTGCTTGAATAAGACTCTCTACTTATTCTAATTAGTCTTAAAATTCGTTATTATTATTCTCATTTCATATTGTGTTATTCTTATTCATTTTTGTTATTTATATCAAAAAAAAATAATAATAGTTTTAGCAGATACTTTATTTTATTAGAAGAAGAGTTATAATAAATTAAAAAAAAATTAATGGTAATAGGAGTAAAGAAAAAAAACAAAAACTTCAACGAACTAAAATAGTTATAAACAACAAAGAGAGCATGAGTGAAACAAAACATCAATTAAGAGACGCATATTTAAAAATGAAATCGCTTCAGGCAGACTTAGATCATTTGAGATTGATTGATGGATATATTCATGAAGAGCAACAAGCCCTTAGACTAGAATTATCACGAGCACAAGAAGAAGTCAAAAGGGTTCAAAGTGTACCATTGCATATTGGTCAATTTGTTGAGATGGTAGACAAAGACACAGCTGTTGTTACTCTTTCTAGTGGAACAACACAGTTTGTTCGTATTTTATCTACTATTAACAGAGAACTTCTTAAACCAGGAACATCTGTTGCACATCATAAACAATCAAACGCTTTAGTTGATGTATTACCACCAGAGGCTGATAGTGCCATTAGAATATTGTCCAAAGGAGAAACACCTAATGTAACATATGCTGATATTGGAGGGTGTGATATTCAAAAACAAGAAATTAGAGAAGCTGTAGAACTTCCATTAACTCAAAGTGAGTTGTATAAACAAATTGGTATTGATCCACCACGTGGTTGTTTGTTATATGGACCACCAGGAACTGGAAAAACTATGTTAGCTAAAGCTGTTGCACATCATACCTCGGCATCTTTTATCCAAATTGTTGGATCTGAATTTGCACAACAATATCTTGGAGAAGGTCCAAGAATGGTTAGAGACGTTTTTAGATTAGCACGTGAAAATGCACCATCTATTGTATTTATTGATGAAGTTGATTCCATTGCCACAAAACGTCATGACGCACAAAATGGAGCTGACCGAGAAGTTCAAAGAGTTTTATTGGAGTTGTTAACTCAAATGGATGGGTTTGATCAAACAACTAATGTAAAAGTAATTATGGCAACAAATAGAGCTGACTCATTAGATCCAGCATTATTAAGACCTGGAAGACTTGATAGAAAAATTGAATTTCCATTACCAGACAGAAGGCAAAAGAGGTTAATCTTCCAAGTGCTTACATCTAAAATGAACCTTTCTAAAGAAATTGACCTAGAAGATTATGCTTCACGTCCTGATAAAATCAGTGGTGCAGAAATAGCTTCTATTTGTCAAGAAGCTGGTATGCATGCAGTAAGAAAGAATAGATATATTATCCTTCCAGCTGACTTTGAGAAGGCTTACAAGAAAGTTGTTAGAAAACAAACACAAGCAATGGACTTTTACAGATAAAATTGAATTTCTTTTTTCATAGAAAGGAGAAGGAATAACATTTTATTAAATTTTCTAAAAAAAAAAATTGGTATTTTATAAGTAAATAATAAATAAATTAATCAAAAAGGATGAGAAAAAAAAGAACTTAAAACAGTTATAATGTTAAAAATCAAAAGAATTGAACTTCTTCTTCTTTTTATTATACTTAGTACAGGAAAATATATTGGATTTTTTCCAAGTAACCATGAATGTAGTATGAATGATACTTGTGTTGCATTAAGAAAAAATCAATTTACTTATTATTATAAATATAAAGGAGGTGATGAACATTATGAAAGAATCAATTCAATATTTAGAAAAATTGAAAAGGATTTTAATTATTATAGTAAAACATTGTCTAATGAAGGAAAGAAGTATTTAGATCCAATAAGAACATGTTTTGGTCGTTTAAAAAATAGTTATAATTCATTTAAAAGTGAAATGACAACAATTAATCCTCAAGTCGAAGATATAAGAAGTAAATATGAAAATTGTGAAGATACTGTCAAACAATTAGTAGAAAAACAAACCGAAGATTATTATGAACACTTAAAAAATGAAAATGAATTTGATAATAACACTGCTTTAGTTCAAGCAAATCAATCTCTTTCTAAGAACCTTAATGACGTTAATCAATTAGCTAGTTTAACTAGAACTTATATTGAAAATCCTACTGCTTTATTAAAAAGTCTTACTCAACAATTTGCCCACTTAAAAAAATCTCTTTTGGCATGTAAAGGAGATAGAAAGCAAATAGAAGATATTATTAAATCTTCTCCTGCATTAAAGAATTGGAATGAACTTATTGATAAGGCTAAAGTTGCAAATGAAGTTTTTATTGACCTTTGGGAAGGGTATCTTTATTTTAGAGGATTTAAATGTAATACTGCACAGCAAGACAATGCAATTAATACACTAAAAGATATAGTCAAAAAAAGAACACGTAAATTTAATCCATCGGTTCAAGCTAAAGTGGAACATTCTATATCAAAAGTATTTGATGATAATGAAAGAGATATTATAGAACATGGTTTACATCTTGAAAATAACTTTTATACTCAATCAGATTTTAAAGAAAAGATGTTAGCAAAATGGAATACGACATACTCTCCTACAAATGTGCAAAAGCCAAGAAAAAGTATGGGACCAACACAAATTCTTGAAGCAGCATTGAAAAATGCAAAAAAATCAAAAAATAAAGAGCTTGTTAAAGAATTAACATCAAAACTTAAGATGTCAAAGCTAATTGATGATAAAAGTTATAGAGATAATTTCATTAATCAAGCTGGTGAAGTTTATAAGAAACAACTTAGTGGAGAATATTCAAAAGAAAAAAGAAAAAATTGGAAAGAGGATATTGCAAAAGCAATGAAAAAAATACTTGGAGGAAAAGGTTCAGGAGATAAAATAAAACAAGAAATTATCAAACGACTAGTTCATAGACATGAAAAACTAGTAGGTGGTGGTGATAACATAAAAGGTAATAATTATGTTAACACTATAAGTGAAAATAATAATGAGATAGATAAAGTAACTAATTCTCAAATCCTCATACGCTCTAATAATAAAAGAAGTAAAGCTAAATTATTAACAAAAGCACAAAGAACAAGTAAACAAAATGAAAATAAGACTAAAAATAAAAAGATTGTTGTTCAATCTAGAAAGAGTGAGATTGAAAGAAGATTAGATAAAGAAATTGCACAAGAAATGAAAAGACAAATACTTATCAAAGAACAAGCAAGAAAAAAGATTTTAAATGAAATTAAAAAAGAGTATAACCAAAAAAAGATTAGAAGAACAAAACATGAAGAAAGAGAGAAAGAAATTAAAAAAATAAGAAAATTAAGAGATAAGTTAGACTATCTTTTTACTAAAAGAGAAAGTGAAGAAAAAGACAATAGAATGAATAAAAGAATTAGAGAATTAAAAACAATGATTTCAGATCATTTCTTTAAAAGAAAGCAATTAAGAAAGATATATAATAAAATGAAATATTCAGTTGACCCAATTCAACAAGTTAATAAACTGGTTGAATTGTATCACAAACAAAATAAAATGATGGGAATTCATTCAATTGATGATATCTATGGTGATGTTAACAGTAACATACCTCTTCTCAGAAAAGAAGAAAGAAAACTTCTTCATCGTATGGGAATCAAAAAGAAACAAACCATAGATTATGATGATGTTATTCCAACTCCTCCAAATGAAGACATTGATAATCCAGAAGAAAAAATAATAAAACTAGAAAGGCAAGTAAATCAACAAAAATGGAAGCGGTGTGGTTGTGGTGTGAATTACCGTAAGAATTTTTAATTGATGTTTTTTTAATATATTTAATATTCTTTTTTTGAATGAATTTTTCATAATAAGTGTTATGATGTAGTTCTATTCTTTATCATATTTCACTGTTTTTGTATTTTTTGTATTTTTTTTTTTTGAAGTATCAATAACAAACATGAGAATTTGTATATTTAGAATATTGCTAAGATGAATTTATATAAGTAATTTGTAAGAGAAACATTATTATAATAATCTCACTATTTAATAGTTTATAAATGAATTAATCATAAGTCTTATTAGAAATGTAAATATAATTAGAATTAAATTCATATTTGTTTGACTAAAAAAGGTTCTAATTCAAAAATAGTTTATCAACTATTATTAAAGGTTATTATTATCTCTTAGTATCATTCAATCAAAACACCTTATCTTTAAATAATTCATTCATAAAAAAGAAGGTGTTTAAGTGTTTGTTGGTTGATATTCTTTTATTGTAAATTCATTTAAATATATCAAAAATAACATAAACTCATTAAATATAAAATATCGTTTTATATAACACATAATCAAATAAAAATGAAAAATCAAAGAAGAAGAAAAAAAGATCGAAATAATTAGATCATATGACAACACCAATTGAAGAACTTATCAAAAACGCTATTGAAATCAAGGACATATTTACTGTTAAAGAAATGACAAGAATTACTGGAATACAAGCAAACCAAAGAAATAAAATTTATCCATTATTATTAGGTATAAGAGAAGAAATGAAACTAAATATGGAAAAAGTTGTAGAAACAGATAAATTTCTTCCTTTTTATACCCCAATTTTTTCTTCAAATCTTTCTGAGATTATGAAAAGTCTTGCTCTTATAATTGGTAATCTTAAAGGAGATGAAATGGCACTTGCACAAGTGGCTTTACCTTTGTTATCACTTGATTTAGAAACAGATCAAATTTGTTCTCTTGTTGATAAAATTGTTAATTTGTATATTCCATTAATTAAAGAAGAAAACAAAGAAGTTGTTGAAGGAATATATGTTATTTTCAATTTGATTATTCAATATCATTGTCCAGAATTAATTAAAAAATTTACAGAAGTAAAAGTTGATTTAAAACAATTTGTAGTTAATGAAGTCTGTATGTTATGTCTCCCATTGATAGAATCAATTCAAGGAAAATTACAATTAATCGATCAATTATTACTCTCTTCTGATCAAATGCTTCATTTTTATGTATTAATTTCACATGTTATTTTATTAAAAGATACTTTATTAAAAGCACCTTCAGCTGAAGCAGTTATTAGTGGAATTAACTCTAAAATTTCAGAAGATGAAATAAAGAAAGTAGTTGGATTTGCTAAGGCACTTGTCAGTAATACACCAATTTCAATAACCAAACAATTATTTGCTTGTATTACAAATTCTCCTCAATATCAAAGATGGGTTTATTCAACTATTACCACAGGAAATGTTGCTATTGTCTCTCCAAAAGATATTTTTGCTGATAAAAATAGTAGAGGATTTTCACTCTTTCTTATTGATGGAAGAAAGAGAGAGATGTACCTTAGTGGAACTATTCCAGGAGCTATCAATATTGATGCTAGTTCAATTCAAAGTGAGCCTGAAAATATTGAGAATTTTATTAAAGATATTGAAGGTCTTAAGAAAAGTAATACCCATATTGTTGTATTTGGAAATACTGACCATAGAGATGCTGTAGAACAAATCCAACAAATAATGATTTGGTTAATAAAAAATGGATTCAAGCATGTTTCAGAATTGCATAATGGTTTTACTGGTTATCATTATTTATTTGATAATGAAAAAGGATTTCCTGTAGAAAACCATTCACTTACAAATTGCAGTATTTGTAGAAAACAAGGTGTAGAAGGGGTTAATAATTTGATTAGAGCTACAGAAAATGTTGGAACAAAAGCTTTTGAATTTGCTAAGGGTTGGTTTGGAACAGCTGTTGCCTCTATGACAGTTAAAGAAAGTGAAAATGTAAAAGATGTAAAAGATATTCAACAAGAAAATATAAAAACTGAAACAAAAGAGATAATTCAACCTAAACAAAAAACCACTCAAATTCAAAAAGAAGAAAAGAAAGTTGACGGCAATAAAGAAGAGAGTGATTATTATGAAGAATTAATGAAAACAGAATTCCATATGAAAGGTGAAATTATTGGTGATAAGAACGAAAGTGTCATTGTTATTGGAACTAATAGAGAAATGATTTTGATTAATGAGACTGACGGAAAGTATCAATTAGTTAAAAAAATTCCATTAATATTATTAAAGAAAATCTCTTTGAAAAAAGCAACTCCAGGTATTCTTACTTTCAATGGTGTTCCACCTCATTTACCACTTACTATTAAATTAGAAAATGTTCAGTCCTTCTTACAATTCTTGAAAAGTAAATCAGCCAAAAAAGAAAATCAGAAAGCTGACTAACTAACGACTATTAGCTGAATATTTTAATTAGTTAAAAGCTAAATGAAGGTTCTTTTTTTAGAATTTTTAATTCAATACTTTTAGTTTGTTAGAGATTAATTTATTCAAAATAGAGATGTTTATAATCTTAGCTGTTTTCATAAAAATTTCATCCTGAGATTAACCTTTGTTTCATTTATTAATTCACTAAAAAAGTTTTCATTCTTCCTTTTTCTTATTTTGACAAATATCTTCAAAACATAAACGTATAATTTTAAATACATTTCTTCTTTAAACATTCTTTAAGACTTATTCTCATTAACTTTTCAAACATATTTTATAAAATCTATTTCACACTTTTTTATATTCTCTTTCAATTGTGTCATGTCACTTCTTCTATTTCTTCTTTTTATTCATACATAGTCTCAAACACTTGAATCATTATTTTCATTATCTTCTTTTCAACTTCACTCTTTTTCTTAACAATAAATTACATTATTTATTTGTTGTATGTAAAATTAAATATCATTTTATATTATTTTGGTGGTTTAATTCTTTCCAATTTCATTTTACTAATCAAACTATGCAAATTTCATTATTATTATTATTATTTATCATTTCATTCTTTTATCATCATTTCTACCAAATTTGAACTATTCTAGTTATTTCTATTATTGTTCTTCTTCTCCAATTTCCACTTCATAGAATGTTATTGTATTTATATATTCATTTCTTTATATTCATACTTCTTTTCTTCTTCACCTCAATTCTTGCTTTATTTTACTCATCACTGGTAACTTATCCTTATTTAATTGTGTTTCTTTCAATCCATTTCATTCAACTTTTCAATATTATCATCTCTAATATCCATTTATAAAATTAAAAGAAGAATATGGTAATGGATCATTTTTGAAACACATCATTTTGTTTTTATTTCTCTTATTTATTTGTTATCTCATGACTATAATATAGTCCTCCACCCATTCTTTCTAATTTCTATATTTCTAAATGATACCGTAATATTAATAGTATTTGAACACATTCATAATTTAATGAGTCATCAACTTTCATAATACATAAAGTGCATCTATATTTCTTTTATTCCTTTCATTGAAGTTTATACCATTTTCATTTTTTTGATGTTAACAACTATCTTTCTGCACAATACTTATTTTGAGTAATTTAGTATTTAGTTTGATTAACTGCAAGTTACTCTTCATTTTTATTCTTGTTAATAAATGTGAAGAATTTCATAATGATATTCAGTGTTGTTATTACATTTTCTATGTTTCTTCTATTATTTCTTTTCGTTATTAAAATGACTCTTCAGTTACTCATTTCATTTTCTGTTTATTTTTGATATTTTATCTATTCCTTATACACATTTACATATCATTTCCTTACATTCCCTTTTCTTTCAATACTATCCTTGTACTATATCAAGATACTGTATTTTTCAATTTTTGGTTTCATTCAATATTTCAACAATCACTATTGTAGTTTTTACTCTCTTCTGTTTTACTTTTTGCTATCTTCCATATTCATCTGAATGATGAAGAGTAGAGGGGATAAGGAATCACCTTGTAGAATTCCTCTATTTAATTTAATACATAATAGTTATTCATTAAATTTATAACCGATGAATATCTTCCATCTAGTCATCATACTTTCAATAATGTCAATGATGACATCCTCTACATTAAAATACTTTAATGATTCAATAACCCATTCGTGGTTTACTGTGTCATATGTTTTCTTAATGTCATAATATGACTTCACATATTTTGGGTATTTCTCTTCTTTCTGCTGCTTTAACATGTAGCTATTAATTATTCCTTCTGGCAACGAAAAAAAGCAAATAATTGAAAAAGAAGAGAATGAATGATATAAAAGAATAAAAAGAAAGTAAGAAGTAGAAGAAGATGAAGAAAGAATAAAAGTAGAAAGGAGAGAATATAAAAAGAAAGAAGATAAAGTGTAATAAAAAAAAAGAGATGATAAAAGAAGAAAAGAAAGAAAAAAATAAAGGATGCAAATTTTATTGAAACAAATAAAAAAAGCGCAAAATTTAATGATGCAAAATTTAATGATGCAAAATATTTAGCAACATATTTTATTGATGCAAAATATTTTGAAATAAAAATAATTCATCATTTGATATTATTATATTTGATAATAAATTATATTATATATTAAATACATCATATTTCTTTATTATTTATCTTTCTTTTTATTATTTCATATATTAAATTATTATTCATTCATTTATTATTCATATTTCATTTATTAAATAAAATGAAAATGAAATTGTAAAATATCAATTAAATATTCATGAATAATTTATTAATATTTAATAATTGAAATAACAAATAATAAAGTAACAATAATGATATATTCAATATATTCTTTATTTGATTTGTTCAATATTAGATTATTCTATTTCATTATCATTTCATTGTCTTCATTATTTTATTTCATTATTTCATATTCATTTATTATTTTTTAAAATCAAATAAACAATAATATTGATATTCATTCATCATATTCATTTAATATAATAAATATACACAACATTTCAGAATAAAGAATGAATAATTA